GTTTATATTTCGACGTCAGTTCTTCAGTCAGTGACGGATGTCCGTTATACTCGACCCACCGCCTGTCTGGATTTTCAGTTGGCCTTGGGCGGCCGACTCAAAATTGGACTTGTATTAAAGCCTCCGAGGCAATATTTTTCCGTCTGCGTAACTCGAAACACGATTTTTTTGTCTGGGGCACTTTTGGGGGGAAGACTCATGACACCATGCCAGTACTTTTGCATCTGGCAAACTGATCATCCTGGATGTATATCGATGTACGTCTTTAGCGCAAGCATGAAGACCCTGGAGGCTCCAATGGTACTCTATCTCACGATCTATCCATTTCTCTGTCCAAACTTAAGCATTTGACATATAATATATTCAGCGTAGAGGTGATGGAAAATGCATCTCGTGTGCTATAACCCGAGGACAAATGGTACATGTTACTGATGAAAGTCCTGGGCCACTGTGATTGAAACCGACGGGAGAATAGGAGTGGGCTGTCCACGCAGCATTTGGAATATAACACTTTGTGAGTTATGACGAGGGAAGTAAATTTCTTGCTAATGATTTGATAACACTTGAAAATGCGCCAAATGCATTTAGCTTTGGAATACTAATCTAATAACATTGACGAAATACAGATTTCGCCCGCTAGTAATACCCGCGATTTTAAGGGTTTCATTGCAAACATTGAGAATTACACTTCAAATAAAATTCAAAGTCTGTTTGTATCTATGGATGTAATATTCTAACAAGAGAAGATGTACATTCCAAGATGGTGCCAAGAACCGGTGGCGCACCAAGAATTTGGCGGAGGGGGGGTTCAGACCGGAATTTACTCCAAATAGCTCACCCCCCTTGCACCACAGGGGGAAATAACGGCTACATGTGTATCAAAAGCCAGTAGTATAATATGTAAGTGTATATTGTATCTATGTGTTTCAGAAAAAAAATCTGGGGGAGTAGCTGAAGCCCCTCCCCCATCCCGAGTTTGTAACCTCGTTACAACATGGATTCGACTGATCCTATACAGATGTCGGCTTTCTGAATGACTCAACTGACCAAATTATTTTGCTACCTTGCTCATTCTCGAAATGAAAAGCGTGCTCGTATTGATTAAATGACATGCTATGACCGATGTATGAATTATGTATCATTCTGCGGTACCATCTGTTCAACTGGCTGGCGTTAATCGCCATGCAACAATTATCTTCCCAGCGATCATCAATCTTGCTATTTTAGTACTACGAGTAGTAAACGCCGTTATTTTTCCAACAGAAGATGCAAATTGTGCAACCGTCACGTGACCGGTAGCCCGCATATTTGTACAGTCCATTTTTCGGAAACTAGAAGCAGCTGAACCTCGGGCAATACTTGGCAAACAGGGCTTCCAGATGACGGCAAATTATTGGCAGTAGCGACGGTTGGGTTTGCCAACCATTATAGTCACGATAGATTCCCAATATTTTTTAAATTTGACAGCTAATAAGTACGGGAAAGCCACTTGCTTTCATAAAATGCTGGCGGGGGTGGGGTGAATTGAAAAATCCACACTAAGCTCACTCCTGGGACTTTGTGGAACGTTTACGGCGCTAGGCGTTCCCAAACATCGAGTAACTCTACTGGACGTTTTCAGGTCTGTCAAAGGTTGCAGTGTCTTTCTTAAACATAAAGGTCACACATCGGCCCTTAGAGTCCCGAAGAGAGGACACGATCTCACAATGCAGCAACGGAGCTTCGCGAAGAGCCGACTAGTTCTTGAGACTCAGGCACGGATTTCCTTTCAGTCGATTACTGCGAAGCGCACTGATTGAGAGCACAGAATCTACCGCCCACACCGGCCGACGCTCCACGACGGAAGGTTTAGCAAAACGCTAGAATAAAATTTGGCCCACCGACATTTCGATGGCAGGCTGTGTAAGAGATCCATTTTGTTCTAAATTCATAGGTCACACAGCATCTCTTAAAAGTTGTCAGAGGTATAAGGATTAGCTTTCATCCCATCAAAACAAATATTAGGCCCTCTTCCTCAGGCAAAAGCTCCCTTTGTATCATACATCCAAAGAAGATCTGATCGCTGGTTCGGGAAAACTCTTTCAGCATATTGAGAGCGCTCCTGGTACCATCAAGCTTTTTGACAGCATTTAGGATTTGACACCAATACGGGTGATTCACAATAGTGCGCCTCCAAGAATTTGAAACACGTTGGCCAATCACAAGGCGAGAAATTTGTCGACCCCTTTCAAACGCGCATTGGGTGGACAAATTTCGCAGTCATGATTGGCCAACGCGTTGCAAACTCTTGGAGGCGCCCTATTGTGAATCGCTCGTATTAAACATAATAATACACACGAATCAGCCAAAATCTTTTGCAAACTGACATGACGTTATGTAGTTTTTTATAAATCGGAATAAAAGCATTGATGGAATATACCACCCCATAAATGTAACACAGTCTAAAATATTTTGGCAATTTTACTGACCACCACTGCCTCTTTCAGAAAAGACCAACATTGTGTCAGCAAGCATGCCGATGATCAGTGCTGTTATTGATAAAAAAAATTTGGCTTTCAGATAGGCTGCGTTAAAATGTAATATTCTTGCAATACAGTCGTTCACGCTATGAAGCTCGGAGATGACACGGTTGTTTCAGAACCATGGCCAACCAGTGCGACTGCATCACACTGATTACGTGTCATCGTTTGATAACCCAGAAGGGGAGGAGATTAATGGGTACACAGCCTTTCTGATATGTGCTTGGCACTGACGCACGGGGGGGGCTTCACCAAGGCTGTTAACAAAACCTACAATAACACAAACTTGCCAATAGCAAGTCATTATAACTGTCACACGTTCTGGCGTATACGCATCTTTCCCCATCCATCATGTTTTCAAGGTATTTATACGTGTGTTTTTGTCCCCAGAGCGCCCTACGTTCAATTAAGGCAAATTATATTTGCCTTGCCCAAGCCGTGGCAGTCGCAGCCAGGGTGTGCCATTGGGAAAAAAACAACAACATATAACCTATATGGACATGTACCGAAATATTTCCGGCACCATACATAGACAGCCTTGAAGTTAGGGACTGGATGGATCGATTGCTTTTCTCCGTTCTTAGGGTGAGGGCTGACGAGGTTTAATCGAGCGCAAAGTAGTGAAACGTGATGTGCGCATCCACGCCTAATCTACCTCGGAGATTGCGTACTTATATCAAAAGATGCCAGCCGGCTTAGAATTCAAGTAAGATAACATTATCATGAATAGTTAACCGCCTAACCGATCGAAATCTCACCGGATGATCTGGTTAATAGGTAACTGGCATTTATCACTGCGTCAGTGTTAATGGGTAAAGGATCCTTTTCGTTAATGAATTTTTTGCATCCAGCCGGGCGAAAGTCAAGTACAGGTGTATTGTTTACAAAAAAGAATCAGGCAATACATGAAACGAGTGGAACGTGTAATTGCATCACTGTGAATGCTGGTACATTCATGATAAGAAACGTGCCAAACAGAATGGCAAACATATTGACAACAAATATTTATGCGGGCAAGTTGTTATTAAAAATAAACTTGACACTATTTCAACAACCTTTTAATTGCAAGATTAAAGAGGGTATTCAATCGCCATTCGGAGTTAACAGGTCTGCCTAAGACATGTTAAAAATGGGTATTTTTATCTTCAACTGCGCCAGCCAATTGTTTTAGAATGTGTGGTTAAAAATAAGCGATTAATACTTTCCACGTAGAAAAAATGTAAACATAACTGTAAGGAATTTGATATGAAAAGTAGTAGAATTCGAGCAATGTTAGAGGGATGAACAAAACAGAACGTTCAAATTGTGTCTTACTTTCAACTTTCTACGAGCTGCACAATCTTTGTCCAGATATTTTAAGAAGTACTGCAGAACCTTCAATCCAACCTATTTTCGGAGTGTATATCCAACACATCTTGATGGCTTTTTTTAAATCATCATTATGGAAATCTATAAAGGTATCTAGTGAGTTAATATAAAGAGATTCGATCGGAAAATAGGTTTTCTAATCCCAGGCATCCTTCCAGACTAGATCGATGAAGCAAACGCAAGAATGTTTAAACAGATGCTATCCCAAGTTTTCTGGCCATAAACTGCACCAAGCTGAATAAATAATTGTCCACACTGACGAGGTTATTTTCCCCTCTTTCGCCTTCATGAAAATGGGACGATGCTACTTGACTGTTCCACGCGGAAGGGCAGGAGGACAGGGATGGTAGAGAGACGGTTTCATTTCCGAACCATAGCTGGCAGATGTATGTGGTCAATTTGCGGAACGAGTCTCTCCCCGAGACGGCATTCTGCCATCGTTTCGCAAACTCAATTTGATCGGCGTCAGGTGGATTAGGGGAGGACCCCGCACAGACGCAGGGCATGATAATCGCCGCGGTAAAAATCAAATACATTGAATGTGGAACAACGAACACAACCTGCCTAGTCTGGGTTGCTTGCGCCGTATATCAAGCGAATTCCAGTATAAAACTGTTTATCCAAGGCCTCATGCAGTTTGAAAGAGACGATCTGCATGTTGCAAGGGCTGCCGAGGGCCGGACAGTCGGCATTTTAGCGCCGAAAGAGACATGCAGAATATTGGGCGGGCAGCTGGAGTATGTCCGTTTAGGGCTGTTGGTTGTAAATCAGCATATTTTTCTTTCGTTTATGCTTCTGAGTGAAACAAAACTTGGACAGGATTATGACAGTCACGAGATTTCGTGGCAGTCGTAGCTGCGATACAAGTATTCTACGTACACGTATCAAACACATTATACAGTTCCAAATGTATTATATGGTATACGCACCTTTTGATTAAAACATTGCTGTTTAATTTGGGCTCCAAGTGAAGATTTGTTTATTCTTACACTGTATTGGCACGCTGCTGATTTTGTTCCTCAGCTTATGCCATTCGGTCTCTCTTTGAGACACCGAACGGGTCATACAGGCGCACCACGTACACCCCTAGGCTAAACACAGGATTATGCACATCTAAAGCACATCATTTCTCGAGATCTGCGTATCAGTGGTCCGCTGGATGAAGTTTGGCGAGAAGCTTCGATCCGCGGACACTGTCGCGCCGGTCTTGGTCCCGGAGACCTCTCTCAGCTGAACGGCTGACCGATACTTGCTGTGTTTGGAGAGGCAACAGCAGCAGAACGTCTGACAGAAGGCTTGGCGGTAGCGGGGGTTGGTAGCGTTGTAGACGATGGGATTGATGGCGGAGTTGAGATGGGTTATGACCTGAAACACCTGGCTCATTTGGACGAACTGCTTGGGGCTGAGTACGCCGGTGCCACTCAGGTTCCTAATGGCTTTCGCTAAGGACGTGATGTGGATCGGGCTCAAGCACAAAAAGAAGATGATGCCGTTGGTGATAACCATGCGGGCCATCTGGTTTCTCGTCCGTATGCGAGCCTTTTCGTTGGAACCCTTGCCAGAGGTTGTTCGATGGTGTAAGGCGACGATAATCTTCCCGTACAGGTAAAAGTTGACGACCAGCGCCATGAAGAAAGGAATCGACTGGAGGATCATTCCGACTATCTCAAAGTTGTCGTGCGGCACACAGAATCCGATGATTTCCGGAAAATCCTTGTAGGTGTCGTTTTGCGGCCAAATGATACAGTATGTTTCAAACTTGGCGGTGCCTGGTATGAGAAGGCAGGCAAAGGCGACGGAGAGGAACCAAGACACTGCGACGAACTTGGTGGGCTGCCGCCTGCCGGTGCATCGCTTGTACTGGTACGGCTGGCACACTGCGTAGAACTTCTGCAGCGTGACCAAGGTGATGAGGGACAGCGAGGAAAAGAAGCAGGCATCTTTGACCAGGTGGATCAGGATGCAGCCGGCCATACCGCGAAAGTAGTCGTCCTTGCCCACCGGTGTTAGCAGGTGAGCTAGGATCTGGTCGCCCGCTGCAAAGAGCAGGAAAAGGATGTCGGCCACAGCTAGGTTGACCAGGTAGCAGTTCACCACAGTGCGCATCCACTTGATGCGGAACACCACCACCAGAAAGCTCAGGTTGCCGATGAGTCCAAAGAACAAGATGCATGGTGTCACAACAGTGGTCAGGAATTCCATGGGACTGTACAGGAGGGCCTCCAATTGATCCTCCTCGATCTCCTTGCACATGCCATTGGACTCATTCGAGTTGTTTAAGTATGACATATTCATTTTCCTGCAAAAAGGCGTCGGACAATCTCACCAGGACAAAGTGTAGGCGATGATCAAATCGACTTGCACGCATAGGTCTCCTTTTTATTCAATTTTACGGACACACACGAGCGAATTATGGGAACCCGACTCAAGAGTGTGCCCAAATGTACAGTGAAAGGGAAAACGGTGGTCGCGATGCAAATTCCATAACTTTAACTTATTTAGTGATTGCTAACAGTTGCGAAAAAGAGGAGTGACAAGCCAAGTAATACTCAGCAATAGTGTGAAATGGATTTCGCAAGGAGACCTCAATCTCTGCAAAGGTAACGAGCAGTCTAGATGTCGGAGATGAGATAATTAAACTTTGCGTGTTGTTAGCCTCTGTTTCACAGAAACTGACCATGGGAATAATTGATTCCCACTCACCTGGCGGTTAGACGCTGCTATCAGTGCATTCCAGCTGAAGTCCATAAGATTTGAGATACTGATGTGTTCAAGGCAGAAAAGAAGGTAGCACAGCGGTAGATGGATGAAAACAATCAAGACTCGGTGAGCAGCCTGTACCTGTAGTTGTCCTGACTCGACGCCACAGTACCACGGTCGCATTCGAACTGAACTCTTTATTTAAGTCCGTATCTAGTTATATCACCTGCCTCCGCGCGCCACAGCCTTCTCTCTAATATACGTACATACTGAAACGACAAAGCGTGACTTTCAGTCAGTCTGCGGTGGGTGTGACTGCAAAACTAATTACGCAGGCAGTGACAGGCCGTCCGCGTGCGCAGCAACGTACGGCTGCAAATCATTCCCTGGCATAGCGTAGGTGACGAGGTCTGTTTTCAGCAAGTCTGCCTGGTTAATGATGTACATGTACATGTACACTGGCTCTCATCTCCGTGTGAGGCGCAGAGGACAGACAAGCTTGGAGGGTGACAGGACGAGTGCACCGCGTGACCATGGTTTGAAGGGAGTGAGTATACTCTACGCTCACCACAACCTACACTGAGCAAGGAGCAAAACTGGAATGAGCATGCAAGCGAAGCGCACGCGCAGAACGACATCCAGAGAGGCAGACTAAATTTGCATGATATACACGTATACGCACACGTTATTCAGCGGCACGGGCTTGGCCATTTTGATGATACTAAGAATTGCGCACATCTGGGAAATTGGTTTTGGAGAGGCGCATTGTGAATGGCAATCGGGTCTCGGGTGGAGCGAGGGTGACGGCTTCGAACCGGCACTGCAATTCAGCTGCTGATCTACATACAGCAGGATCGATATCAACAATCTAGTTCACATGAAATATGTAGTTGCTGAATTCTGTAAGCTATGGTGATTTGAGATTACTACAATGTCACACGAAGTTTGAAAATAGTTCGAATTTTCAAATAACTTGGGAAATTTTGCACGATGACATGAGTACGCATTAGTAACTAAAGCTAAAGTTGTAAAAAGCGACCAATACATCAGAGGCGAAAAGAACACCCATTCACTGCAGCAAAGATTCAGGCAAATCGCATTAATATGTTCAAAAGAAGAGGATAAAATGACACTTCAATTTAATTTCCCCAAACTCAATTTAATTTCCCCCAAATCCTGTCTTACTTGTCGAGAAATGTATATGTATCAGACAGGACAGGCGACATATATTCTAACCCATACTTAGTCTTTTACTGAAACCACAGTGACTTCAGTAAGTAACTGTTTCTACTGATCGACTTTGCATAAGCATGTGGACAGAGGGAGCAGGTGAACTAGAAAATGCATTTTTCACCGAAGCACAAGAGCACGTCTAGTGCCAGGCATATCCAGACAATCACCCAGCCCTAAGTCCTTCCTTAGCCCATGGCTAAGTTGCCGATTACTGCTAAGTGAAACACCTGCCCACTAGAATCTAAAGATGAAATCAGCAAAGGCATAGAAATATGTGTTAACGCAATACTGAGGCAAAGACAAAACTAAACGCTCCTTGTATTTGTGTATAAATATTAACTTCCTACACTGTAAGACCCAACTTTGAAGAACGTTTGACGCGTTTATAAACTAAACACATTAAACATTTGAACACGCGGTGCGTTAATAGATGTGAACGTGTTTAAAACATAACGTTGTTTATCTTCGGGACATTTAACGCCTGTTTATAGCGGCTTAAAACTTGAATTCCGTTATTTTCTGCCAATACTCTTGAGTGCCGATGAAATTCAAATTTCATGATGTAAGTGGTTAATTTAAGCTGATATAACGTATAACATATGGATGCAGATAAGATTATCACTTGTTAACACCAAAAATAAACACTGTGTTTACACAACAAGTTCAGTTGTACCGCACAGCGTTTAAGACACGACTATGCGCATGCGCTGTATGTACACACTCGTGTATGCGCACTTCGATCTCTTTCAGCATCCCCTGCACATGTGCTGGCTGTCGTTTGTAAATGTAGAGAAATCGAACTGTTCAGAGTTGCATTTATTCATTTCTTACACAGGTTTGTGCATATACCAGTAACGTGCATGGATATTTCAGGATCTCGGATGGGTGATAATTTGCTGAAAAAATAAGGCTTTTTAACAGTATTTCAACCGTTTTTGTTCCCGTATTAAATTTTAGTAGTTGACTTGCCATTCTTCACGTCACAGCGCATGACTTGAAAACGTGTAGACCACCATTGCCCAATAACGTGTAGTTAATAAACACGGCACCCTTATAAACGTGTCAAAGTGTATAAACAGTGTTATAGCCAGTACACATGTTTTGGTGTTTAAATAATAAACACACATATAGTGTTTATAATTAAAAAGTGTATAAAGACCAAACATATCTATAAAGACCTTTATATTTTATTATAAATATACCTTGCGTTTATTAAATAAAACAGTGTGTTCAGCGTATAAAGATGTCGAAGGTGTTTAACTATGAACGTGTCAAAATGTCGAAAAGTGTTACAGATTTGCGTTTAATTTGCGTTTAGATGTTAAACGCTTGGGTTTTACAGTGTGCACTCAGGGGCAAAGTCTTCCTAAACCTAGACCAAGTATCGTCAAGAAAATGTCACTTTGACGCTAGTGCTCACTCCACTATTTCATTGCGAAAACGTTTCCTTTCTCTTTTTTCCCATAAACCCAATCTAACAGGTATAAGTAACGACATGCAATTCTTTAAAATAAATTGTGATTACATTTACGTTCAGATTCAATGATCTGATAAAGTTCTGAAGACGCTTTGGCCTTTTCGTATTTTTCATTTTACCGTTACTAAGGCAGCATTCACATCGAGGTCGTTAGTTTAGCCAGTCACTTAGAGTAGATTAGATTATCTACTACGATTACCGGCCTCGTATGTGCAAGTAATGGTAGCCCAACTCGACAGGCGGACACTGAGGAGGTAAGCCTCAGGGATGTTCGGGGAGATCATTCACTCTCCGGGAGCTCAATCTTCCGAAGTGACGTAAAGCAGAGTCCGAAAAGATTCATTTTCGTTGAGGGCAACGTCTACGAATTGTTGACGTGGTGCACTTAGACAACGATCTGTATCGTGGTGTTCTATGAAATCTTCTCATGGATTGGCAACGGAACAAAGTACATGTATTACCTTAAGCTAGATTTAGCATGATTTATTTATCAACGAAAACCTAAGTGCAATGAAATTTATTTGCATTCTTAAACTCTAAATCAATACATTCTTAAATTATAATAACGTTTTATTGGAGAACTGTCGGTCTTTATGAAGAATACAGTTCAATCCGTGGCCATTCTGATAGCATTGTGAGAACAAGAATGTCACCTAAAAATGGTCATTTACCAAAGAGATATTTACTACAGCTGGAAGAGACTTTCAGTCACTTATCATACAACTTGTGGGAAGTATTGTTAGATAACTGCGTTTCCCAATGGCTGCCACGACTTCCAACGTTCGTTTTACTCTTCATTTGATATTTTTTGGATCAAGTAAAGAATCTAGTGTCATCATTGTACATGTATAACTGATGCTGACTTACTGCCGGTGATTTAATGTACGTGTGTTTGTTTTATACACAGCACTGCTATAAATTCAAACTTGAAATCCTTTAAAGTGAATATTTGTAATTAATCAATAGTCTCTCTACTAAATGTATATTGAAAGCTTATCTTCAGCAAATAAACATGTACACATGCATATTGTTGAGAATTCAAATCGAAATTGCGGACCAACCACAAAAGTGAGTCTACGCAAATGCTTAAGGAAGGCAAAACTGCCATCCAAAAGCTGAACTTGTCTGCAATGCAACGCGACAACAAGGCAACCATAAATCAAGTCGTTTCGGTTTAAGTTCTTCAGAGGATATTACTTGTGAAAGAGGCCTCCCAATTATGTACCGTAAAATTAATCACACACTCGAGTTCAGAGCGGACTTCGGTCAGTCAGTTTTTGGCGCCAGTGTTTATCCTTGTCTGACATTTCGTAAGCAAGCCAACAACAAACCTTACTCGAATCATGAGATGTTATTGAGTTTTTGCTTAATGTAATGTCATACCTCCCCCAAAAATCTCCCTACTTAAAACATCTTTTTGGTATGACTGCATGGGAAGCTGATCATTTCCTTGGGTTCGCAGAATATCTGTTAACATCCATGACCTTACTGGTCAAAGTGAAGCAAGGTATAGAGGGATCCCAATACGACGCTTTTAGCATCGATCTGCGCACTTTCGCGTTTGAAAACGAGGCTGTATGTGTCAGCTTCAATTCTTAATACGATCAGACGATTGAAAGTAAGGAGTTTTTCAGGCTGCAAATTTTTGCGGAAGAGTCTTTCAGGATGACTCGACACGTAAAATCAAAGGAAAAATAACGGCAATTGACCGCGAACTAACGTACCTGCGATGGTTGTGTATCTTGTGCAGTGGGCGTGGTTTAAACTGAAGTGGAGTCACACTTACGAACGGGATACTGCATGTACTGTGTGGACTCCGCGGGCGCGCGCGAAAAAGTTCAATACATAGAGCCTCGGTACCGATGCAGATATGCGCAGA